AACACCAGAGGAGTCACACAGGAGAGAAACCCTTTGAATGTCCTTATTGTGGAAAAAGTTTCAGTTGCTATTCCAACCTGGTGACACACCAGAGGACTCACACAGGAGAGAAACCCTTTGAATGTCCTTATTGTGGAAAAAGATTCAGTGAGAATTCCCACCTGGTGACACACCAGAGGACTCATACACGAGAGAAACCGTTTGAATGTCCTGATTGTGGGAAAAGTTTCAGTTGCTATTCCAACCTGGTGAGACATCAGAGTACTCACACAGGAGAGAAACCCTTTGAATGTCCTGATTGTGGGAAAAGTTTCAGTCAGAAATCCAGCCTAGTGAGACACCAGAAGACTCACACAGGAGAGAAACCCTTTGAATGTTCTGACTGGGAAAAGTTTCAGTGAGAATTACAGCCTTGTGACACACCAGAGGATTCACACAGGAGAGAAACCCTTTAAATGTCCTATCTGTGGGAAAAGTTTCAGTGAGAATTCCCACCTCGTGACACACCAGAGGACTCACATAGGAGAGAAACTGTTTGAATGTCCTGATTGTGGGAAAGGTTTCAGTGAGAATTCCAGCCTGTTGAGATACCAGAGGACTCACACAGGGCAGAAATTTTTCAAATGTCCAGTCTGTGGACATTACTTCACTCATAAATCACCCCTTATTGCACACTAGGAAATCCACATGAGGCAAAAGTTGAAGAATTTAGAAAAGGCTTGAAATTCATTTGTGATCTCCCATTGAAACTGCAGTTGAGGAATTGACTATTTGAATTGTGGTCTGAATCTTTTGGTCTCATAAGGCAAGAACGATTTTGCACTACCATAGCAATCACCCAGTGGCTCACAAAATCAGCTGTGTTAGGACCCTTTTCAAAAGGGTTGACTCATTGCAATTCAGCCAAAGCTAGGATGCAGGAAAGAAGATATCTTTTCCGCATCTGTAGACAGAATGGGTACCCTGCCAGGTTTATTAAGCGCTATGCCATTTACTCTAGACCTTCTAACAACGAACAGGTGAGACAACTCCCTTCTCAAACGACACGTGTTACCCTTCCCTATGTCAGCGATGTCTCTGAGGCCACTGCTAGGCTTTTGACCCCTTATGGAATCATGGTAGCGCATAAGCCCAGCCGGACTCTTCGTTCTTGCCTTATGAGACCAAAAGATCCCCTCCCTACTGCTGAGAAGTCTGGGGTGATTTATAAAATCAGCTGTGAAGGCTGCCCCAGCAATTATGTAGGTGAAACATCTAAAAGAGTCAGAACAAGAGTCCAGGAACATAGACTGGCCGTCAGAA